TTTGTAACAACTAAGGCAAAAATCTCATTAATTCAGAAAATCTTTTCAGGACCCCACCTTGATGTTTCGGGACCCCACTTTGGGTCCCGACCCCAACTTTAGGAAACACTGCTTTAAAAGACTTGAACAATTTTGCAAAAAATATCTTTTAACTGGCAAACAATGGCTCCATTTTCTCACATGCTTTGAGAATATTTTATCCATGTACAGTAAACATACATGTAACATTAACAAGGAGAATTTAAGCTTTTTTAATAACATTACATTAGGTTATAATTTTCGGAACATATGACGGTTAAATGTATACACCATACCAAAACAGAGGATTTATGTGCAAGGATGTTGAACAAATACTTGGCCCCTCTATGAATATTGTGGCCCCTTGATGGCCCCCTTACTCAGAAAAATCCTGGCTCCGCCCCTGTGTAGAATCTGACGTAGGTTAAGTTAAAGTTAGTGTTAATGACAGCGGTGGAGGGATTGTCCTCTGAGGTATTTTTAGTCTTTCCTGGATCCTGTCAGTCGTCTCTAAATACAACTCATTAGCTGCAGGCGTTTCACGGGGTGGATTATACGCTGACTGGTGTCTCAGTAGCTGCTGGTAATGTGGGTCGGATGGTCTGGTCTGTGAACTCAATCCAGCACACAGACAGAACCGTACCGGCTGGTCCAGCCACAGGCTGACACACATGTGGAAACAGACACACTGACATATATGTGAATCAGGACATCTGTAGGGTGTTATGTAACCAGAGCCTCCTGCTGGATAAAGCTGTGAGTGTGTGTGTGAGTGTGTGTGTGTATTTAGGCCAAGCTGCAGCCCGGCCCGTTCTCACAGCCTGTCTGAATGTTGTACTCTGGGTCAGAACCATCAGAGGGTTCAGCTGCAGGACTAAAACACAGCTTTATTTCAACACTGAAGTTTTACAGATTTATTTATTGATGACAAGAATAAAATCATTCACAGGCACTGTTGGTCTCAGCTTCAGCTCAGGCAGCAGCTGGGTGAACAGAGGTTTGTGGCACAGCAGAGCCTTCAGAGCTGTAAGACCCTCTGACACCCCCCGCCTTCATGTTTAACCAGAACATCAATCATTATTTACACATTGTGTTGGACAGAATCACAGGGTGAAAAACATTTTTTACATTTCATCACAGCAGCTGTACAACAGTCCAGAAGAGCTGGACCAGTAAAATCATCTGGAGAGGTTTTCAGTCCTGGATCTTTAGGACACTTCTCTTCTCCAGGTCGTTCATCTCTTTAAGAATCAGAGCCACATTGTAGCGCAGCTCCTGGAACTTAGACACAGACACCTGGACACAAACAAACACACAAACAAACACACAAACAAACAAACAAACACACAAACAAAGGTTATTTAAACTCACAGTTGTCAGCAGGTGTTCAGTTAACTGTTGTATAATATTTTGTATGTATATGTGTATGTGTATATATATATATATATATATATATTTGTCAGAGATATTTTGCTAACAGGAAGCAGAGGTCACAGAGAGGCAGGAACTCTTCAGTTCAGTGAAGACGGGGCAGATCCGTCCACAGGGCTGTGATTAATCTCCTAATTCTGCTGTAATCTGATTATGTAACCACGTCCGTCTGCAGGGTAAAACACACAGGTTTGTTTTTATATCCCTGTGGGGACCGTGGATTGACTTCTACTCATTTTTTGGTAATTTTAGATCCTAACTCTGACCATTTACCCTAAAACTAACCTCACAGGTACCTACCTGACCCTAAAACTAATCTAAACTCAATTCACACCTTGGTCCTAAACCCAACCCCACCCACCCAAAATCAGCCTCCAGACTCGTGGGGGCCATGAGTTTGGTCCCTCCTCGATCCACATCTGCATTCTGCAGCCAGCTGTGGTCCGACTGAAGCAGCGTCTGTCCTGTAATGATGGGGCAGACGTGGAGCCTGGCGTCCCCTGCTGGTGGAAGGTTAAAAGGACAGTTTGTGTTCTAAATGCTCCTCCTTTACTCTCATTTATCGTTTGATCAGATAAAGACCGGACGAGTTAGAGTGTTTAATGTTTTTATCAGAACAAAGACACTCCGGACTCTGTCAAACTGCTAAAACTATCAGAACCACTTAGTGCTGAAGATAATCCAGCACCAAGCAGTGGAGGCTTCAGGTGTTCCAGCCTGATCCTGTTAGGTAACAGACCTGCAGTAGCTTCCTGCTAACAGCTAACATCTTGTCTTGTTTTCAAGCTGAGCCCGGCCTGGCCTGTTGATCCCTGAGAGCCAGGTGGAAATGTGAACAACTATCATCTTACCTGCTGTAGTCAGATTCCTCAGATTCAGTCTGACAGGAGCAGCCAGGAGTTTATGTTTTACTAAAATAACAGCTTAAAACAAACCTTACAGACCTATAAAATTACAAAACATAGTCTGCATAAACAACTAGAAATAGTTTAAATAACTGTTGACACATTTTACAGATTATTAACGTATTATCTGTGGTTAGATACCGTAAAAATTAAAGCTCACAGACGATCTGTTAGCAAAATATCTCATGAACCTCTGGACAGACTTTAAGGAAGGTTTCAGTACATGAACACATCTAACTGAGGACTTTTGGAGTCAACATGATTCAAAATGGCCACCACAGTTAAACCTGAAGAGCAGTGGTGGGCAGCGCTAATCAAAAAATTAGCTCCGCAAATTTTAAACCGCTTATAAAATTTTTTAGGTCCACAACTTTAAAACCGCTTATGCCGTAGAAATACTAGCGGAAGCTAATCTTAAAGCACAAGTTCAATTTGACACTTAATAGCAGCAATAATTCATGTACAACACTGCCAACTTCTGACGGTGTATGAACTCTTTTACAGCTTAATCCTAAAACCGTCGATTGCTGGGGATGTGATTTCCTGAAACAGATCTTTAGCTCCTGGTGTAAAAATTAAAAAGTTGTTGAGGATTGCTAGTTCGGCTGATTCTTTGTCTTTTGCTTTTGTTTGTTGTAGATTTTTCGTTAAAGAAGCATCAATAAAGTAATTTTAAAACACTTTATTGGAAAACTGAAGTGACACATTCTGGGTACATGACGGATTGACGGGAAACGAAAGCACGGAGAACAGGAAACTAGTATCTTCCCTTCAAAATAAGAGCTTGGATTTTAAAGTTTTCCAGTTCACCTGAAACTCATCAGACTGAAGAAGTCTCTTGGTGGAGAGATGAAACGTTTCACTAAAGAACCCAGCCAGAGGACCTACTGATTTTTTCTTTTTTATGTTTTTCTACCTGGATCAGGACATTTTCCATGTAGTTGCTCCAGTTGACCACTAGATGTCAGTCTTCACCAGCGTAACATCTTTAAATCATTCCTGAGTCTCTAACACCTTTATCCGATTGCTTTTGAGCTCTAGCGTTTAAACTTTGTTTTTTTTTTAAAGGCGCTCCGATTGTAAAGTAAAATATATAGATAGAAACAAAATTTTACTATGGATTACAAACGTTAACTGTTTTTGCTGGGAAAGGGAGTACTAAACATTGCCTTCCTGCTACGTAAGCAGACACAAAGCATTGTGGGAAATCAGAACCGTGACCCAAAGCAACAGTCAGCAGGATGTATACCTTCACAATAAG